TGGATGGTGGGGAATGGAAGATTTTTATTCTTACAGACAGCTGGTCGTTTGCATTCTTTTAGAGAGTCATTGAAGCCACCTGGAGGTTTATCTGGGTCCTCAAGGTCACTTGAGTGGTGCAAATATGTGTGGAGCCTTCTTGGAACTGCTGAAAGGACTATTGTAGACTGGACATAGACGATGTTGCATCCCTCCCCCTCTGTTGACATAGCTTTGACATAGATGGCCTCTTTGACCCCCCTTTCAAACCAGCGGTCCTCTCTGTCCAAAATGTGGACATTGCTGTCTTCAAAAGAGTGGCCTTTCTCTTTTAAATGCAGATAGACTGCTGAATCTTGTCCTGCTGGGTTTGTTCTTCTGTGTTGTGCCATATGTTTATGAAGTGGTTGTTTTGTTTCCCCAATGTACAGATCTGCACATGTCTCACTGCATTGTGCTGCATATACCACATTGTTTAGTTTATGTCTGGATATTTTATCCTTGGGGTGGGCAAGCTTCTGCCTTAGGGTAGTCTTGTGTTTAAGGTGTGCACGTATGTTATGTTGACTGAATATCCTCTTGAGCTTTTCAGATATTCAGAAGGCTCCACACACCCATTTGCACCATTCAGGTGATCTTGAGGACACAGATACACTTCCAAGTGGCCTGAATGACTCTCTAAAACAGTGGTTCTCAATCTGTGGATCGGAACCCCATTTGGGGGTCGAACGACCATTTCACGCCAAACAACGCTGTCTGTCATTTTTTTCCCCTTTTCCTTAGCTGTGCTACTCCTTTTATTCTATTGGCTTTTGAAAGCCAACAGAATAGACTCTATTGAATAGAGTCTAATTCTATTGGCTTTCAAAAGTCAATAGGAATTGTCCAGGCTGTCTCTGCCCTGCTGAGCCCGCCAAAAGTCCTATTCTGCAAACGGTGCTGCACCAGTTGAGTAGTCCTCAACTTACAACCGGTTGAATAGTCCTCGACTTACGATCAGTTGGGGGTCGTGGTATTAAAAAGGTTGAGAACCACTGCTCTAAAAGAATGCAAGGAATATAAATCCTTCCATTCCCCACCATGAATTCAGAGCTGAAGAAGCTTCTTGGATGAGAAGCAAAAACATCTTCAAAGAAAAACAAGAAAGTTCAGTTGCCCTTTGAAAAAGCACCTTTGAGACAACCATGACCTGGATGATTGAAAATCTCCATAGATATTAAATTGTTATATTTGGGGGTTTTTTGTTTTGTCTTTTGTTGTAAGCCATCAGAAGTTGGAATTATTTGGCAGCATATGCATTTAATACGTAAGTAAAGAAAATAAATAGGACTTTAATAACTAGCTATGTTTCTATATAAAAAAAGTCTTGCCTGTTTGAAGAGTAAGAAAATCTGACATAATTTGAAAAAAAACATTGATATTAAGAATCGTGATTCAAAGAAAAGTGTACACATATTCATAGCTGGTTGCTGCTTAGAAATTTCTGGCATCTTGAACTCTATTAACTTTTCTTTCAAGGCTTGAGATGACTACTTATAGATCATCACCTAGGGATTATGCTGTTCAGATGGAGTCTGATGATGAAAGAGAGGCTCTGGTCATCAACCCAAATGAACATATTGTAGTGCAAAAGGTAAGCTCATAAGTCTTAAGATGAAATGTCCCTGGCTGATGTGAAAATAAATCACATGATATAAAAAAGCAGAGATCATATAATGAAAATAATTTCCCATTAGACTTTGGGCCATTAGATTCTATTGTAGTTCTTTGCTTTACATCCAGGACGAAGTAATTCCAGAACTTTAGCAAAATTCTCAAATGCCATTTGACCTCATCTTTCAACATCTGCAATATTTTAATCACTTTTTTAATCACTTTTTTTAAAAAAAAACATAACTACTGAAGTGCTACCCTTTGAAATGCCATTGAATTACTAAAATGTATATATTCAAGTGCGATCCTCTCTGTAAATATGCAAATAACTGTGAAGTTTGATTAAGACTGGAAGCTCAGTCGATCATAAAAGTCAGCAGGTGTCCTTGAGCCAAAAACTATATCTCCTAAAGCTATAATAATAAAAAATAAAGCAAGTTTAGTTCTTGGAGAAAGAAATATGTCAATGAAATAGATAAAATAACTAGAACTTCTGAGGGTATAATCACTTTAGATGATATATGACACTTAAAATTGAATACATTCTTTCATTGTTTAGTTTTACTGTTTGCACTTGATTGCATGAAAATATTTGTGCAAGCTGTCCTGACAATCAGATCAATTATTGCATTATCCCATAAATTTATGCGCCTGTGAAAGTTTTTGCATCACAGTTATTAACTAAGTGTGTATTTACTGAACAGCTCAAATAAAGAGTTTCCAGACTATACTTTTAAACAAGGTGTATTCTTTGATTTTGCACAGGTAAAAGGAGGAGCACTTACTTTTAGGAGATGGATTCGGGGACGAAGTATTTTCTGCTCCAAGTTGCTGACCTCACGGGCAAAATCTCGCTATCTTTTTCTTGGTTATTTGGTGATGCTACATCTTCTAGTTGTCTTATGTCTAACAGGTGTCTTATAAGTGCACTGAATTTGCTGTGTGAATTATTTTCTTCTAAAATAATGTGTGCCAGTTTGAGATAACGGACTTCTCAAAAGCTATTGTAAAGCTATGCACTGGATACAGTTGATATATTTTCAGCATAAGGTGTGGGTTTCAACTTCGTTAACAAGAAGTTTTAGATGTACATTGTAGTTGTTCCAAAGTTGATTTGAGTAGCTCTGTAACAATGGAATATTATATTTGCTAAGAAAAAACGTTATCAAAACACTACCAGAAGCTGCTGCAGTTGGGATGTTTAATATATTTGAGGAATATGGAATAGCTGAACACTGTCAAATGGGTTGTAAATGCTATCTTTTCTATATAAATTTATTTTAACAGAGTTGAACTATACATTTGGGGAAAACTATTCTTAACTATTGGGTTTCTTTGCTTCTTGATTATAACAAGGAGCTCACAGAGTGCAATATATAGGGAGGGAAAGCTGGAATCATTATGAGTTTCTCAACTTTAAATAAAATCTTAAGAATTAAACTTGTCTGTGATATATTGAATGCTTACCATAGTCTGTGTATGAGGAGACTGGCAATAACTAAATCTTTTTTTTTCTGATAAAAAAATAGAGAAGGGGACAGTTTTTGGAAGTGTTTAAATTTCTTGTTCTGAGTTCTTGGAATCAGCTCCAAAACAACAGCTAATAATTTAATTTTTGTTGTTTGATGAGACATAAGGGAAGTTTTTGTGTTGGATAAAATGAAGTTTTCCAATTCACAGTAATTTATTATTTTAGATATAATCTAATTGCACAACATATTAAGTGTCTGGTTGATAACCTTCCAGTTTTTACCATCTAAATGTCATTAGTAATATCAACAATAGAGATGGAGGAGAGACTTGGAAGAATAACAATGTCCTTGGTAGTAACAATTTGAGAAATTTATAATCTGACTAATAATTCTAAGTACCTTTAAATATACTTTTTTTTCTTTATTTTTTGTAAAAAAATAATTTTCACTACTGAAAAAGGGGGAATTTTTTCAAGGATAATTAATCACATTATCCAGAGCTGGCATCTAAAAAAGATCAACACTCAACAGGTAGAATTCTTTTTTCGTATGGTAGGTCCAGGTGTGCCAAATTAACACCTGAAAAGCATCTAATGGGGAAAAGCCAAGGGAATACAAAGCATCATTACTGAAATCTGTTGTCTGAAAGGGTCTGACAACCAGCAAGTAACTTGCAGCTAAATGAAGTGCTGCCAAATTTTGAATAAAATTATGACTTGAACTAGTAAGTTGTCAGATGCAAACATGAAAAAGAAAACATACATGCTTTGTGTTTATTTTGAAATCTTCAACTGCAAGTATTTTCTGTTTTTGACTAGAAAAATTAACCTTGGTAAGAGGGGTGTGAGTAGTAATTTTTTTTTAAAAAAAATACCATACCTGCTAAATTGTTACATGCTTTTAACAGTAACTGAATTATTGAAATGAATGATTCACTCAGAAGAAATCTTAAAAGAAAAGATATTTATTACAATGTCCTAGCCTCCAATCACACTAAGTAAGTCTGCTCCATCTCTTCATACACATAAAATACTTGAAGATCACTATTATGCCTTGAATTTACAATCAGGAGTATGTATTTTAATCCCTGTATATAATATTTATTGATATGCAAGAAGCTGCAATCTACAGGTTCTGAAAGCTGAGCTATCTCATCTTCCTGCTGAGTAGAAGTACTTTTGCTATTATCATTCATAGGTATTTTACAGAGCATGTGAGGGCTGCTTTTTCCAGCCTCACACACACTAGAATACTGAGCCAATTCTGCAGTTGGGAATTGGAATCACTTCAGGTCTCTAAGTCAAAAAAAGCCTTATGGAGGACTGGCGTAGGGAACGGAAGATGTACCATGTAACTATATAACCATAAGCACCTTGGTCAGGCTGTAATTTTAAAATAATTGTGGGTATAATTGGATCTCCCAACATAACATAACTGCTTATTGACACATAGTATGTCTATGTGATCCAGCCATTCAGGTCATGGTTGTCTCAAAGGTGCTTTTTCAAGAGGCAATTGGGCTTTCATTTTCTTTGAAGATGTTTTGCTTCTTATCCAAGAAGCTGCTTCAGCTCTGACTGGATGGTGAGGAATGGAAAGATTTGTATTGCTTGCAGACAGCTCGTCCTTTGCATTCTTTTAGATAATCATTGAGGCCACTTAGAAGTTCCACACCCATTTGCACCACTCAGGTGATCTTGAGGACACAGATAAATTTCCAAGTGGCCTCAGTGACTTTCTAAAAGAATGCAAACGAACAGCTGTCCATAAGGAATATAAAGCCTTCCATTCCCCATCATCCAGTCAAAGCTGAAGAAGCTTCTTGCATAAGAAGTGCAACATCTTCAAAGAAAAACAAAGTCCAGTTGCCTCTTGAAAAAGCACATTTGGGACATATAGTGTGCTTTATAGTGGATTGGATTAAGATTAGTTATTTGTAAAATAGATCCCATGAATGTCAGTAAACCTGTTCCAAGAATATCTAAGCCTCTTTTGAGAGGCTGGGTTTAAAAAAAAAATGCTGTAGGGCATGTATAACCAAATGAAGAGATAGAGAAGTAAGTGACCTGTGATTATGAGTCAGCCACAGTTTTCAGGCATGGAGTCATCCCATCGCAAGATAAGGTAGTTATTTTATGTCTGTTTTCCTCGAAAACCTGATGACAACTTGAATGGTACCATAATATTGTACCTGGTTACTTTTTTCTTTTGGAACCACAGCCAGTTGAGTGTGAACAGAATTTCTGACAGTTAATTAAATATTTAATGAAGCAAATTGGTTGACGAAACATAAAGTGAGAAAAAGGATTGGGAAGCAAAGAGGAAGCCAGTTTAACAACTTACAGTGGGAAAGTATCCAAAAGTACTAGAAATTGTGCCCTAATTTATCCAGCCCTGTAAACTGTCAGTGATAAGCAAACACTGAAAAAAAAATGTTTCCAAAAATGGCAAGGCAGACCTGTGTAGTCTATGTACTCCGTTCCACAAACTGTATAAATGTAGCAGAAGACGAGAGAGTCATTGGTTCCAAGAGAGCTGTTGCATTTTGTTGCTTCCTTGTATCTTTTGGGTAAGTATTTAGTAGATAACCTTTTTCACATTTGACAATAGCAAATTTGATTTCATTTTTAAAAATTTGCTGATCTATCAAAGCATATTTTAATATATTAAATATTAAATTTCATTGTTAATTAAATTTCAGTAGTCTGCATAAATTTGTTAATTGAATAATTTTAGCAAATGCACTCAAGCTATGTTATGTGATATTTTAATTCATTTTAATAGTATAGCTGGAATAGTACAGCCATTAAAATTGGCTTCAGTAGTTTGTTGGAACAAATTCTGTTTATGCAAGTATTCATCTACTTTCTGAGGAAATTTCTTGACCTTTGTATAAAGAGGCATGATGCTAGAATTCTTTCACCTATTCACATTATCTGCTATTACAGTATTTACTTCTTGTAAAATACATTACCTTTCCATTTTCTTTTTGCAATTTGTATGCCAACCATGTCCCCATTTTATTTGCAAATTCAAAAGGTCTTTGTTTTACATCATTTATGTTTTTGGTAGAGAAGCATGCTCTGTATTCCGAATGCATTTCAGAAAAACACAGTTCAGTGCATCAAATTTTAATGTTCTTTTCAATTCTAGCTAATTGCACTAACTTTAAAAAAAATGAAATATTCACTTTGTCAATCTTACTAAATCACCTTTGGATTTCTTTGAGCTCCTGAACTCTATTGGATGGCTGACTTCTTTTTTTTTTTTAAAAAAGGCAAGATTATTGGGAACAAGAGCATGTTATACAATTCAGTATGTCTAACTGAGAGATGCAGTAAAAATCTAAAGTATATGGATTCTAATGGCTTCTGACAGGTACTCCATTGAACAACTCTTCCATTGCATGATGAATGGAAAAAAACATGTTTTCAGCCGTGATTTAGGTACACTGGGAAATGGATTTCTATTTCCAGAGAAAAAAATGGGATTATTTCTTTTCTACACCATGTTGATTATCAATATCTGGCACAAGTGAAGGAAAAGCATCTAGCCTTAGAGTTGAACTTCAGAATTTCAAGAGAGGTCTATTGTACTTGTTGTTTATGGTAAATAAACCCAGTCCTATCTCACTCCACTTTCTAGAACAGTTCTTTTGATAAGGGCTCATAGTTCCCAAATATAGAATAGTTCTTGTAAGTGAACACTTAATGGGAACAGCTGCCATTTCAAAGAATTATCCAAAGCTTTCCAGAGAGGGTCTATTTTTAGATCTTTCCTGCTGAGATTGTTTATATTATGGGTGGGTTAGGAATATGCTGCTGCTGCTGTAGAGTAGCTTCAAATAATATACTTGCTTTATGTACAAATTGAACATAATCTAAGCCAAAAGACTTTCTTGTGTTAATTACATAATGATGTCTTCATATGAGAAAAAATAATAGGCAGGCAGCACTGCTCCCTGGACCCACCTCCCAGAATCTAATTACTGAAGAAGGAGAATGTAGATAGAGATATTAGACATCTATGCAAGATACATCAATAGGATTCTCCTGTCCATGCTAAATATACTAGTATCAAGTGTGGGTAAGTCATGTATTAAGGCTCTGATACACTTTCAATCAACAGTTAACCTGAAAAGTAGGGAAATTTTAGTATTCTCTCCAGGCAAATCTCTCCTTATCTCACCCCTACTATCTGTGTGAATAAAAGGTGGTAGGGAGTAAATTTAATTACTCTCCTACCATTCTAATAAATATTCCTGTATCTCAGAAAACTTAGCTTAATTACTCAAATTCAAAGCAAGACTGAATTTCCTCCATGAAGGTTAACTTGCCCAAATTTCTATCATTACTGTGGAATGCACAAGAGTTAAGACCCTCAATTTGATTTCTCGAGAATTTGATAAATGCCTATTGTGTTTGAAGAGATTACACCTCTATACTACACTTCTAAGAGATGTCTTTGGCCATGCAGCTGAACAGACATATCAGTGGAGTTAGTCACTGCTGTAATATGTGAAATGAAGCTGACTTTTCCGCTCCATTTTTTTTCCACTCAACAGTCAAGAATATTATATGAGAATCTTTATAATATTATGAATCCTCTAAAAATAGCAACTGGATTTGAGTATAGGCATTGCCATTTCTCCTATTCCCAGCTGTTTACTAGTAGAATGTAAAAAAATCCGTAGCCTTGTGCTCAGGATGCACTAATCCAGTTAGATCCCACAGGCTGGGCCTCCTTCAGGTCCCATCGGCCAAGCAGTGCCATTTGGCGGGGCCGCGGGGGAGGGCTTTGTCTGTGATGGCGCCCACGTCTTGGAATCAGCTCCCCCCGGAGATTAGGACTGCTCCCACCCTGTTGGTTTTCCGCAAGCTGCTTAAGACCTGGCTTTTCTGGCAGGCCTGGGGTTTATAAAATCTGACCCCTGGATGAATGTTATTGTATTGTTTGTTTTGTTAAGTTATGTTGTGTTTTTATTGTTAGCTGCCCGGAATCCTGCGGGAGTGGGGCAGTCTATAAATTTTAATAAATTAAATTAATAGATAGAGCCTAAGATTAACAATAAATAGATAAGGCATCTAAGAATGCACAACTATGCTTCAAATGGGTATTCTTTATAAGTGGAAGCCTTCCAAGATTTTTAATAATGTAGAGGATGTTATAAAAAGATTTGTATACATGAAATCATACATACTAATTCAATGTGCTTGAAATCCAGAAATAGGACTCCTGTTATAATGCTATTCTATTTCTGCACATCCATGCACCTTTGAAAAATTATGAGAAGTTGTTTTTCTCCTGTTTTCTCTGCATCCTAAAGCTTTCTCTTGATGTCATTCACACTGTTAATCATTCTTGTTTTATTTATTCTGTTTGAGCTTGCCCATCTGTGCTGCTTGAACCATTGAACCAGCTGTCTGTATAATAAGTACCTCAAGACATCATTTTGAATTATCTCTTCGTTCTTAATATCTATTTCTGGCTATCTTTGTTCTAACAAAAGCTTCTGCTGATAGAAGAGTGGAATCCATTTTCATTGACTTTTCTTATAATCTCCATACTGCTGCTTCCAACTCATGAACAGATATTCAGGAGAATAAGGAGTGTCAAGAAAAAAGCTTGTTCCTTTCACCCCATACATAAACATCTTATGAGTAGTTGGATATTTTATTTGTATCTTAAGAAAAACAAAAAAGTTCAACTATTGCCCGGAAAGAGGATCATTTAAGAAACAAACAAATGGGTTTAAAGATCTTACAATCAGTTCCTTCTCAGGTTATTTCAGCTTGAATATAATTAAAATCAGCACTATCATATTAATTGATTTGTGTATATATTTTCTGAGTTCATTAGAAGCTATAGTATGTGGTTTGCTTCCTGTTTCTGTAAACGATGCTTGATAGTTCAAATTATTTCCCAACTCCAGACCTGCTTTTTTCCTTGACTTTGGCTGAAAGGATAGTGAGAAGTCATGGGTGATGATGATGAAACCACAGCTCTTGTCTGTGATAATGGTTCTGGGCTTTGTAAGGCTGGATTTGCAGGAGACGATGCTCCTCGGGCTGTCTTTCCATCTATTGTTGGGCGCCCTCGGCACCAGGTCAGTTTAAATAATATAAATAAAAACCCTGAAAATGGATGATTTTAAAAGTCACTGCATTTTATTTGAATACATCTCAAAATCCATTGAACATTTTTCAACAATTTATAAAATGGGATTGCTCCAATACTATTTTTTTTTTTAAAAAAATCCCCCATTCCATATGTAGGAAATTAGTAGATTCTTAATTGAATTTTCCTTCAGCTGATCACTACTTCTGAAGGCAGCAGACCAATTTAGGAGACTAAAACAGGCAAAGTGGTGAGCAAACTTTGTTGTGAATAGAAGAAAATGGCAGGAGATTCAGAGAAATAGCAAGGAAGTTGCCATCCAGAGAAGGATCAAGATGTACTGCAAGATTGAAGCTTTGTTCTTTTTTTTACATGTGTTGTGATGAGCGATGGGTGTTTGAAAATCATGCAGCTGCAACTTCCATCTTGACTTTATTTTACCTTTCGTGTAACTCTTGGCAATTATTATCCTACTCATTTGCCACTATTTGAGGCAAATGGCTGCGCTGCCTAGTGATAGGTCTAGATCAGGGGTAGGCAACCTTGGCTCTTTTATGACTCATGGATTTCAATTCCCAGAATTCCTGAGCCAGCCACACTGAGGGGAAAGGGAGAGGTTTCCAAGCTGAGCCATGCTGGCTCAGGAATTCTGGGAGTTGAAGTCTACGAATCATAAAAGAGCCAAGGTTGCCTACCCCTGGTCTAGATCTTTGTACAAAATATTTCAGAATAAAATATTGTTTAATTCTTTGAAGTTATTAATGTTGCATATCAATGACTAGAATATAATGTTTAAAACATAGGACAATCATTTCTTTTCCCAAGATGAATGATCATGTAAGATAAATAATGACCGTGTAAGTCATTTGAAATCAACTGATTAAGGTAGCTTGTAAGAAATGGAATAAAATTTACGGATTAAAGATACTTTTTCAAACATGAGATTGTCTCTATGAATGGTTTTCAGGGTGTCACACTTACATGTTAAACCCTACAATGTGCATTTTAAAAAGAAAAGTTACTAAATTCTGTTATATAACTTAGTTTATAAATATGGCATAGTTACAGAACTGTTTTTATGTCTTTTAGTTTAATATTCTCCATGTAATAAACTTAGCTTTATAAAAAAAATTCAAAAGAACATCACATCAAATAAATCAGTATTTTAAAATGAAAGCTAAAGAAAGCAAAACACTTAGCAATTCTAAATGTGTATCAAAAGTAAAGACAGAATAATTGGAAAGTAAATCACATCTTGATGAGTGCTGCTGTGGAGTATTTAAAGTATGGCATAGAATTTGGGCATAATTAAACATTAAATCTTGTTGATTTTAATGGGAGAGCCACAGAACAATCTTATATGCCTATTTATCAATGCAATCCACAATCCTCCATGGGACCTCAGCTTTAGTCCACTTGCTTGGAAAGGAGTACCAATAAATGTGTGATATAGCAGGTCATTTTTTCCCCACTGAAGTAAATCAAATACTGAAACTTGAAAGTGCCCTATGGAATTTGTATTGGTCCCACACAGTATAGTACAAATAGTCCTCACTTACAGTAATTGGGACCAGGAACTCTTTTGCTAAGCAACATAGACATATGGTGTGATGTCACATGACCACACTAACCTATGACAGCAGTTCTGGCAGTCCTGTCATTAGGTGAATCCTGTATGGTTGCAGCATCTTGCGCTCACATGATCTCCATTTGCAATCTCCTGCCAGCTTCCTCACTGACTTTTTTAGAAGATGGCAGTGAATGTTGCAAATAATGATCAGTTGAACGCCAAGCGTGGGAATGCTGTGACAGCCACAATTATAAGAACACTTATAAGCACCCCTAGTTCTGTAGTGTCGCGATCCTGAATGGTTGCTGAATGAATGGACGTTAAATGCAGATTACCTATAAATTCACAATGACTGATTCTATCATAGTATAGCCTATGCCCTATGTAATGTATCATTATCAGAGATTTTATAATACTATTGTCTAGGTGTTATAGATGTCTGCTTTAGGAAGAGGAGTGTTGACTTATCTATGCAAAGAAAGCAATGAAAGGAATTGTGTGGGATTGCCAAAGACACAGACCAAAGCAGAATAAAAGAATTTACCCCTCTTGTTGTTGATGCTGATGCTGAATTACACCAGACACTAGTTAGTCTATGTCAGTGATGGCGAATCTTTTAGAGACCGAGTGCCCAAACTGCAACCCAAAACCCACTTATGCATTGTCAGGTGCCGGGTGGGTGTGGCCCATTGGGTGGGCATGGCTGTGGTGGTAACGGCAGACTGGGTGGGACTAAAAAGTTAAATCAATCAATTCCAACTTTGCAAGATCTTTTTTTTCTGAGAGAAGTTGATATTGATTGATTGAATCTTTTTTTTTTTTTGCACATGGCAGCAGACGCCCAAAGCAAAAAGGTTTTATAAAACCTAGCTGAAGGCCTAGGACTGGGACAATGGCACCTGTGCCCACAGAGAGTGCTCTGAGTGCCGCCTCTGGCACCTGTGCCATAGTTTCGCCACCACTGGTCTATGTAATGTTTGTGATACAGTGTTAATGGTGATGTTTTCCTTTGATTGATAAATTTTACAGGGAGTTATGGTAGGGATGGGCCAGAAAGACAGCTATGTTGGGGATGAAGCACAAAGTAAACGAGGAATTCTGACCCTGAAATATCCCATTGAGCATGGTATTATCACAAACTGGGATGACATGGAAAAGGTGAGTGCTTTTTGTGACTCCCGATGATTTGCTACTTTTGAAAATGTCAGGTAATCATACCTGCACCAATGAGATAGCTAATTCCTCTGAACTGGAACCAATCAGAACCAACCAATTTCTTTATGTACAGTGCAATATAAAGTCTCCCTTTCTGCACCAAAAAAACGGGGGGTATCCTTGATTATTATTTTTCTTGAGGTCATACTTTTTGTGGCTATGTTATTCCCACACACTCATCTGGGTCACAAGATCATCACAGCTGGAAATGCTAAGTGTGCAGCAATGCACATTGATATATGTTTGCTTATATTTCTGCTCTGTGAAGAAACAAGATCCCATATAGAAGAGAGGGAGCATCTCTATGACAAGGAATAGTCTTAAGCATAACTCAGTTGTGGCTTCCATGCTGAAACTTTTATAGAGATCCAGATTGAATGTGTGCTCTGTTCTGGCATAATTTGTATTTGCTTGCTTGCTTGCTTCTATGTGATTGCTTTAACAGAAGTTCAGAGACTTTGGTTTTCACATGCTGGCTCATATCTAAGCACTCAATGGAAATGATAGGTTAGGATGAAAATTTCTTAGTTTTTCTCCCACAGCCTTCAGAACCTGCCTCATCCTTTCTTTGCCCCTTTAGCTGATTGTAAGAACTGCTGTGCTACTATCCCAAAGGTGCTTTTCCAAAAGGCACCTGGAATTTTATTTTTCTTTGAAAACATTTCGCTTCTCATCCAAGAAGCTTCTTCAGTTATGCATAGATTCTCTCTATGGAGAATCTCCATAGACATGCTGTGCTTTTTTTGAGGACGGGGTGGAGGAAATGGAATGACATACTTCATCCTGTAGATGGTAGCATAGCTTTTCCATAAATGACATTTCAATGGATCCCATTCACAGCCCTAATTGTTCCCACTACATCTCTGCAATTCCCCCTTTCCCCTTTCATTTCTATTTCCTGTGTTGTCAAGTAGTTCTAAAGTTTAAAAGGCGGCATCTGTGATACATTCTTTGCTGTGGCTGCTCAATGCTTTGTCTCCTGGGATTCCCAGCTGTGTTTATCCAAATATGCTAAATCATTAAAAGGTCAGAAGCAGGGAGGGTAGTTAGCTAGGCTTCCTCTCCTGCCCTCCAGGTCCTCTAACAGTCACCTCTCTGCCTTCATTGGGAAGGGCTGAGTTTTGTTTCATCATCCACCCATGCCCAGTAATCTGTAACAGTTTATTTTATTATTTTATTTAAAACATTGGCCATCCATCTTGTACCCAACACTGGGCGGGTCATAACCAAAAGATAAAACAACATCTATGTACCATAAAAAATATTAAAATCACAAGTATTAAAAGCTAAAACAAAATCTGGCACCGTAGCTAAACTTTCACATGTAGCCCACAACAAATTCATCTCTTCAATCTCACCCTATCCCAGTATAATCCTATGAAAGTTCCAAAAGTGGAAGAGCTTTCCTTGAAAAAAGTTAACTGAAGACTTTGTGCTACTTAAGGCCTGCTTTTCTATGGCAGTTGAGCATAAAGACAAATGAATCCAGAATTAGCTCATCGTTCATCAGGTGTCTGGATTAACTGCCCAACTTTTATTACAGGTAGTCCTCAATTTACGGCCACAATTGGCACTATAATTTCTGTTGCTAAGCAAGTTGGTTCTTAAGTGAACTGCATTTGATTTTATGACCTTTTTTGCCATGGTTATTAAGTGAATCACTTCAGTTTTTAAGTGAATCACGTGGTCATTAAATGACCATCTTCTATTGACTTTGCTTGCAGGAAGCCAGTGGAAGGGTTGCAAAAAGTGATCACATGACCTAGGAGGCTTCAGCTGTTGTAAATACATGCCAGTTGCTGAATTTTGCTCAAGTGATAATGGCAACACTGTGACTGTCATAAGTGTGAGGACTGGATGTAATTCACTTTTTTCAGTGCCATTGTAACTTTGAGTGATTACTAAACAAATGGTTATAAGTTAAGGACTACCTGCATTGTTTGCCTCCATAGTCGTGGACTGTAGAAATTGATTAAATAATAAATTTAATAATAAATAATAAATAAATCTTCAGAGCCTTCAGAGCCTTTTCTTAAACTGCCTCAGCTGCAACTCAGTCCAGAACCTTAGAAACTAAGTTTATAGTTTAGTCACAAGAGACTTGGGGGCAGGTAATCATCACCTACAAAAAATAGGAGGCAAGGAAAAACCCTTTTTCCTAAAGAGATTTTTCCTTTTACAAGAAATACAGAGAAATCACCTTTATGGCAGAAAAAAAAAATGACTTAACTGGCAAAAGGAATTACATTGTTTACTTGAGTATCCAACTTATATATCCCCCCTTTTTTTTGCTGATTTCCACTTGCAATCTAAAATAACATTTTACTTCTGATTTAGACCAGGGGTGTCAAACTACCAGCCCGGGGGCTGGATGCGTCATGCCGAAACCACGCCCAGCCCATTGTTGGCAATGGGAAAAAAGTCGCGGTACGTTGCGACATGTCACGTGACGTTGTGAATTTGATACCCCTACATTAGAGCAAACAGAAGCTACGGTTAGATTGCAGGAAACAGGCAGAAATCAAGATGGTATAATTCAGAATGGGAAGGTGTAATCTCAACATGTTTTTATTGGGAGGAAGTGAGAATGTAGTCAGTGGGTCCTACTGCAGAGTGGACCTACATAGGAGACCACGGTGAAAGAAAACATAGAGAAATGAGTAGCTGTATGCGGGAGGGGGCCAATGGGTAAGGTTATATTTGGGTACAACTGGGTCCCTGCTTCTCTTCCAATTATCATCCCAAAACTAAATCATTTACTTTTTTGTTGGACCTACTTTTCCCTCTCCCTACTTACCTTCTCCCTACTGTTTTTTTCTGTGGTACTATTTTCTCACAGAATTTGATCTCAGGAAGTCAATAGAAATAGCACTTAGCATATACTGCTTCACAGTGCTTTACAGCATTCTCTAAGTAGTTTACATAGTCAGCATATTGCCACTCAACAATCTGGGTCCTCATTTTACTGACCTCAGAAGGATGGAAGGCTGAGTCAAACTTGAGCTGGTCAGGATTGAACTGGCAATGGGCAGAGTTAGCCTGAAATACTGCATACTAACCACTGTTAACCACCTTTTCCCCCATCACGTTCATGGGAGATGGGTGGCATATAAATTTAACAAATAAATAAAACGTTGAGAGGGATAAATTACAGGAGCTCTAGTATTTGGCTGTCTCAACTGATTTCTGAGATCCTCAACAGCATTTATCCCAGATTCAACAGCAGGAACTCTGCTCCAAATGATCTAGTTGGCAACTTGAACTTGGACGATAGCATGCACAGAATTAAATGAAGCAGTGAGAACAGAACAACTGTTGTTAGAGCAATGTTGAAACATTGCACACAGATTTATGTGCTGTGGCCAGATTTCTCGTAGTAGATGTCACATGGTGCTAAATGAAATGCAAAATCATGGAGTCTAGATCTGGGTTCATCTGCTCAGAGTGGCATTCAACATATCTGGTGCACAAAAGCGAAAGGACAAGGAAGCGGCATTATTTTTAATCTTCATTGTTCTTTCATAGCACGTAGAAGGGAAATCATTCTTAGCTGTTCCTTACATCTAATTTTAAAATCTGAAATGCCAATGCAGGTGGAAAACCAAGTGGTTTCCCTTTAGCACTCATAAAATGCAAAAAATTGGACACAAAATAGGGGAAATCTAGTCATTAGATATGAATAGAATGACAAACCTTTGATTTAGTATGTAATATATTACACTTGAATCCCTTGGGCAACTTTTTCCATTATGGACAATTCTGAAAGCCGCTGTAATGAAAATTTGTGAAGCAGTAAAAATTTCAAAAATCTCAGATTGAGGTCTCTGTAACAGTGCTTTCAAGCATGGCTGTCTGAAGCATTTGCTGCCAGAGCTTATATGAAAACATATTATGGGAATATTAAGGAAAATCTCATGGGTGTTCTGGTTATGTCCTACCCGCCTGGTGTCACTTAAACGACATCTTCCTGATAGAGAGTTGTCCCTTAATACTGCTTGCAGCAAGAGTGCTGCATAAGGATTTCCTTTGTAGTTGTTACAGAGTGGCAGGAGTGTCTGTCATGCTCATGTGATGAAGGCTCTGGATAGTGACTGTCTAAATGTTTCATTTATGGGACTAAATGAAACATGCAGCTCCCCAATTATATGAAATGTTGTAAAATTAAATCAGCCTCAGAGGGAGCATAGACTCCTCAGTGCAAATAAAAATTTGCATAAGAATTCCCATTTTCAGTCATTTTTCATTTTTCATTGATGTGTCATTCTCTATATCTGATGCTTAATAAAAATTGTTCTCCATCTTTAGATTTGGCATCATTCTTTCTACAATGAACTTCGTGTTGCCCCTGAAGAGCATCCTGTACTGCTCACAGAAGCTCCTTTAAATCCCAAGGCTAATCGAGAGAAAATGACTCAGGTAATTATTTGGATATTGTTTCTTTTCAAATTAAGAACTGCCTTCCTTCTGAGCAAAAAAAAAACTTGTCATGTAATAACCACAGAAGTATTACTGTTGTGTAATAACCACAAAAAAATAATTTCACAATAAGCCATCAATAGCGGTATTTATTCCTGATATAAAGATCTATTAATCTATTTTTTTGTTTAGGGTTAGTTCTTATCTTGCCATATTTGTGCCATAACCTTAATTTAAATCATAGCCTGAGGCAAGTTTTTAATATCCTACTTCTCTGAGTCGAACTACTTTTCCTTCAGTTTGACAGGTGAGCATTATTACGTAGGATGGACAGTGCTATCCTTGACACCAAACAAAGATTGTTTTAGCCACAGAGCAGGAAACAATTTAAACAAAAGAACTGCAGCTCTGAAAGAGAAGAATACAACAAACAAATAAAAACAAATTAAAAAATAAGTTATGATTTGTCAGACTGGTTGAAACAAGCCAATGTCGCTAGAAATGCTAGCTAAGAATTTATATGGTAGTCTGAATACCTTACAAAACCCCGTTTCCCCTCCCCAGTCACATTATGGCATATGAATCTTGCTCCTGCATATCTAACATAGACGATTGATATCTTCTGATGGATATTTTATTATTATGAAATTTATTTGCCGCCCATCTCATGTCCAATGACATTGGTGGCTTGCAACATAAAAACATTAAAAAAAACATTAAAATCATCAATTATAAAATAACACAGCAGTTACAGTAAGTCAGATATTTTATCCATGACAGTGCAGACAAACACTGTTGCTTCAGAATGCTTTGGGAGGCAAACTATTCCTCTTTTTTGGAACCATCATGCTAGAAGAGGCACGCGGGCCTTGATTCAATCCGCTGTTCACTGCAGGAATCCAAATGGAAGCATTCCTGTGGGTGGCTTCTCTAGCTTTCACTAGAGCACAACTAGTGCAAGGTTTCTCACCATCCCCCTTTCAAATTAGATTTACTGTGAAGTTGCTCATAATGATAGATGTTTTTAAATTCCTAATATTTATCTGAAATTTACATTCTTTAACATAATTCCATTGTTCCAAGTTGTATGCTCTTGAGATAATTTCTGTCCCATGTCTTAGCGTAGGACTAAACATGCTGTCCTCCATATTTGGAGTTGCTAAAAATCTTTTAATCTACAGATAATGTTTGAAACATTCAACGTACCAGCAATGTACGTGGCCATTCAAGCCGTTCTCTCCTTGTATGCATCTGGACGAACTACCGGTAAATTTGGATTGTAGTTTCTATTCCCTTTTTTAAAAAATATATGTCTATGAATATATCCATTACCTTCCATTTTCTCTTACATTGAGCACTGATACATAGTACAATAATTAAATTTTATCCTACCAAACGTTTGGAGGAAATACTCCTTATTGATTTCATATAGGGAAGCTTCTGTATCAGTGATATTGTGCTAGACAAATGTTGAAGTATGGCACATTGTCTCTATTCTTGCATGTAATATTATACAATTAAATAACTTTAGATATTCAAATATGAAAAGTAATTTGAAGCATGGATAAAACAAATGCCAAGCATACTGTAGTACTTGAACAAAATGGATTTTCTGAGGGTATGTTTGTGCCATGATTAGACACAAGTGGGGAAAAGCCTACAATCTTTCCTTTCAGAGTTAAAAATGTTAAAAAGCGAAGTGTGAGGGCTGTAATGAAAAATATCGACACTCTGTTTCTGCTTTCCTAGGAATAGTTCTGGACTCTGGAGATGGTGTGACACATAATGTACCTATCTATGAAGGTTATGCCCTGCCACATGCTATCATGAGACTAGATCTGGCTGGTAGAGATCTCACTGATTATCTCATGAAAATTCTTACAGAGAGAGGATATTCTTTTGTTACTACCGGTAATCAGCACTTTTCTTAAAGCTGCGTTGTTTGCCCACAATATTACCCATAAAAACAGCATAAAGTGCTACCTGTCTTTTCTCATCAAAAGGTTATCATTAATCTGTATTAATACAATATTACTGAGAAACCTAAGCCTGTTTATGTTTTAGATTAACCACAGTTGTTCATAACCAACTTTATTCCTTTCTTTATTGCAATGACAGAACCCTTGTCCCTCCTTAACATTACAATAATCCCTTCATCCCCCTATTCAATCTTGTTTCAATTGTCCTCCTTGTTTAATGTTTGTTTGGCTATTTTCAGCGGAGCGTGAGATTGTGCGAGATATTAAAGAAAAGTTATGCTATGTGGCTCTGGATTTTGAGAATGAAATGGCTACTGCTGCCTCTTCATCTTCTTTGGAGAAGAGCTATGAACTTCCCGATGGCCAAGTCATCACAATTGGCAATGAAAGATTTCGATGCCCTGAAACTCTCTTCCAGCCATCCTTTATAGGTAGGCCTGGACATGTTCCTCTTCTTTGTGTGGCTTGAGTCTGCTGAACAAAGATGAAGTTAAGTGGTACAAAACTACACTTATGCTTTAAGTGTCCTAGAGCTCTTGTTGAAGTAAGTCATGAATGTCTTAGTGGAAGGGTCCCCAACCTCTGGGCCACGGTCCACTAGTGAGCTATGAATTGTTTGCAACCGGGCCGCAGAAACAGCAGGTGAGTGCATGCACATGCTTGCACATCCCCACTCGTGCAGAACCATCTCCTCCCCCCGCCAATCCGTCAAGCCAGAAAAGTTGGGGAACTCTGTCTTAGTGAACCTGTGTATGTGTCTGCCTTGTGACTGTTGCCTAGCTGATTTGTTTTATGGTCAGAAAGAGTGTAAGAGTTTTCAAAAAATAAAAATGCCTTTGGATCTGATTTTTATTTGACATGAATATTTGTAGAGTTTATTTGACAAGACAGGAGAAATTTATTTACAGACCTACATGTAGACTGCTGGGATATAAATTCTGTGACTATTTAATCATGTCAGTAGATACTTTTTGAATGCCTTCCTTATAAAGACATCCAAATAAAATCTGGATGTCTTTATAAAATGGATTTTAAAAATCATGCATTTGGCTGAACAACTAGAATAGATTATCAAACAATATACAATCATCTACTGCATTTTTAGCATATACTCACCACCGACTTGATAAAGTGGTCTGTTTTGAAATCTTTTTTTTTTATTGAAAATTTTTATTTTTTAAAACATACAATCATTTATAAAAATACAATAAAATTTTAAAATAGAGAACCCCCCCCTTACCCTCCCTCCCACCCCCACCCCCCCTCCCTTCACTTCCCAGAGCAGAATACAGGGTTAAGAAAAAAAAAGAAAAAGAAAATTATAATAATTAAAAAAAAAGAAAAAAAAAGAGAAAGAAAAAAAAATATCATAATTAACCTTTAACTCCATAACTTATAAAACAATTCTCTATAATATTTGATATTCATTCATAAAATAAATAAAACTTTTTAATTCCATATTTTTTCTGAATATAATCTATCCACCTTCCCCATACAGTAATATATCTTTCTTGTGTATGATCCTTTAAATAAGCAGAAATTTTTGCCATTTCTGCAAAACTAGATACTTTAAATATCCATTCTTCTAAAGTAGGCAAAGAATCTTTCTTCCAATATAGACCTACTAGTAACCTTGCTGCAGTTAATAAATTCAACATCAAAGTAGTTTCTTTTTCATTTAAGTCAACAAAAATACCAAGTAAAAATAGTTGAGGAGTAAACTTTATCTTCTTTCTAAAAATCTTTTGAATGTTCCACCAAATCATAATCCAAAAAGCCTTTACTTTTTTACAATTCCACCAAATATGAAAGTATGTCGCATCATTATTGCCACATCTCCAACATTTGGGCTGTATGTTGGAATACATACAAGATAATTTTTTAGGATCTAAATGCCATCTATAAAACATTTTATAAAAATTTTCTCTCAAATTTTGAGCTTGTGTAAATTTAACATTTCTTATCCAAATTATCTCCCATAAATCCAATGAGATCGGCTCCTGTATATTCTGAGCCCATTTAATCATACAATCTTTAACCAATTCTGTTTCCGAATCTAACTCTAATAAAACATTATATATTCTTTTTATATGAGCCGGACCTTGGTTTTTAATCTGAATAACCAATTGTCTATCTTCTAGTGTTATTCCCTCTTTCTTGTCTACAGTCCATCTATCCATTATTTGTAAATATTGAAACCATGACTGTAGAATATTTTGCTGCCTTAATACATCTAGGGATTTCAAATGCCAATTCGAACCAGAACAAATTAACAATTCTTTATATGAAATTTTATCAAAATTTGTCCCCTTAGAGGTTCCCTCAATTGCATGTCTGGGAATCCCCCAGATAGGTATTTTATAATTTAATCTATAATAATACTTCTTCCAAACACGAAGTAAGGCATTCCTCAAAATATGTGATTTAAAAGTCCGATCAACTTTCTTATTAAAAATTAAATATGCATGCCAACCATATATTAAATCCCAACCTTCCAAAAAAAGAATATCCATATTTGTTAAATTAAGCCAATCACTTAACCAAGTTAGGGCGGCTGCATCATAATATAATTTCAAATTGGGTGCCTTAAGTCCCCCTCTTTCTCGAGCATCCTGTAATATCTTAAATTTAACCCTTGGTTTCTTCCCGGCCCATATAAAATTATTGATACCCTTTTGCCATTCCTCCAAATTTGCCTCTTTTTTAAGAATAGGTATCATCTGAAACAAAAAAAGAAACTTTGGTAGAACATTCATTTTTACAGCTGAAATTCTCCCCAACAATGACAATTGCAATTTTTTCCAATCTATTAAATCCTTTTGGACTTTTACCCATAGTGGTTCATAATTGTTCTTGTACAATTTTCCATTTGAAGCAGTTAGATATACTCCCAAGTATTTAACCTTTTTTACCATCTGAAAACCTGTGGCTTTAATCAAACTTTCCCTTTCTTTAACTGACATATTCTTAGATAATATCTTAGTCTTATAATTATTAACTTTAAAACCAGAAACATTCCCATACTTTGTTATAATTTCTAATAAACCATCAATCGCCTGATTCGGCTGTTCCAAAATTAAAACCAAATCATCCGCAAATGCCCGCAATTTATACTCATTCTTCCTCATCTTTACACTCTTAACTAACTTCGATTCCCGAATCTGAATCAATAAAATTTCCAATGTTAAAACAAATAACAATGGGGATAATGGACATCCTTGTCTTGTCCCTTTTTGAATATTGAAATTCTCAGTCAATCCCCCATTTACAACAATTTGTGCAGATTGCTGCTGATATATAGCTTTAAGTGCATGTAAAAAATTATCCCCAAAATTCATTTTCTCTACCAAAGAAAATAAAAATTGCCAGTCCAATTGATCAAAAGCTTTTTCAGCGTCCAAAAAGATAAAAGCCACAGGAATCTGATTATTCTTATCCAAGTACTCAATTAAGTTAATAATTTGTCTAACATTATGTTTCATATATCTCCCTGTTATAAATCCTGCTTGATCACTATGAATCAAGTCTTTCATAACCTGCATTAATCTATTTGCCAAAATTTTTGTAAAGATCTTATAATCAACATTCAATAATGAAATTGGCCTATAATTCTTAGGCTCTGTAAGATCCTGATCTTCCTTCGGAATCAGTGATATAAAAGCTCTTTTCCAAGAAGGAGGAACTTGCATACCCAACAAAATACTATTAAAGAGTTCCTTTAGTGGCTCTATCATTTCTTCAGATAAAATCTTATAATACCTAGAAGTCAGTCCATCTGTTCCAGGAGACTTTCCAACCTTTAACTGCTTAATAGCTAAGCCAATTTCCTCCACAGTAATTAAACTATTCATCCCATTTTGTTGTTCCTCTGAAAGTCTAGGAAAATGTACTGATTGTAAATATTTATCTATATCCAAACCCCTTATATTATCACTTGAATATAATTTTGTGTAAAAGTCCAAAAAGCTTTTTTTAATCAAATCTTGCTGAAAAACCTCAGTACCTTTATATTTTACTTTCTCTATAATTCTAGCTTTCTGTTTCTTTCGTAACTGATAAGCCAACCACCTCCCAGGCTTATTCGCATTGCAAAAAGTATTATGTCTCATATACGACAGATTGGTAGCCACCTGATCTGCCATCAACATGTTAAATTGTTCCTTAAGCATCTTTATAGATACCTTTAAATTATTATCAGTAGGGTTAAGAACCAACTCTTGTTCTTTTGATTTGATCTCTTCTTCTATTTCTCTACGTCTTTGTGACCCTTTTTCCTTAAAAACTTTATTCAATTGAATCAAAATTCCCCTCATACATGCTTTACTAGCGTCCCACACCATAGACATCGATGTTCCCTTATTCATATTTATAGTAAAAAAGTCCTTTAAATGTTCTTTACACTTTTGTACAAACTCCTCCCGATTAAATAAGTTCTCATTCAATCTCCAGGATCTTCTATTCCCGTCTTCCGAATATAACTCCATCCACACCGGACTATGATCTGACAATGTTCTAGGAAAAATTTTCACCTTCCTCACTCTAGGGAGGAAGTCACTAGTAATCAAAAAAAAATCAATCCTTGAAAATGACTGGTGTCTATCAGAATAAAAGGTAAAGTCTCTATCACTTGTATTCCTTTCTCGCCAAATATCAATAAGCTCCAATTCTTCCTTCAAATCAAAGAAAGTCATAGGTAATTTAGTTTGAATAAAAGTTTTAGAGGAACTTCTTTTGTCTATAGTTGGGTCTAAAACCCCATTCCAGTCACCCATCAAAATTACCGATTTATAATCCAACTGAGATATCTTGCCATGCAGCAACTTATAAAATTGTTTCTGTTGTTGATTGGGAGCATATAGTCCAACAATAAGAACCTTTCGGCCTTGTAATAATAATTCCACAAAAAGATATCTTCCTTCAGAATCAGCCTCAATTAGTTTAGCTGAAAAAGTTTTCTTCACATAAATTACCACTCCCCCTTTTTTCCCAGGGGCTGGAGCAGTAAAATGTGTGCCCAGACGGGAATTCATCAAAAATTTAGAATCCTTTAAAGTTATATGAGTCTCCTGCAAACATATCAAATCATTATTATGTTGTTTCAAATAATGGAAAATCTTTCTTCGTTTCTGGGGCACGTTTAAGCCATTAACATTCCAGGTCAGGAACCTGACCATCTCCACCGGCCTGGAGCCTCTGGAGCATGGCCTGCAGATCTGCTGTCGAAGATCTTTTTGGTCTTGCCCCTCCCACAGGCTCTGTAACAACCAAACTTTCACCACTCTTCTGCAACTGCTCTTTTTCTTTACGTTTATGGGCAGCTCGTGTCATCCTTTGCTCTTTTATGTCAGAATTCGGTGCAGCTTGTTCCATAACCATCATTGATGAGGCTCCTGCCATAAGAGACTCTTCTGTCATCCTTATTTGTGGAGGTGGTGACAATCTTGCTTTTAAGATAGACTGATAAAAATCTCTTGCTTTGGAAACAGTAGTTAATCTGTGACGTATCCCTTCATAATTTACTATTATTCCTCTTGGAATCTCCCATCTGAACTGAATTTGACGATGTTTCAACTCATCAGACAAGAAAGTAAAATCTTTTCTGGCTCTTAAAATTTTTGGAGGTATCTCTTTTAAAATTATCACGTCTTGATCAGCAATTTGAAACTTTTGTTTGTAAAAAGCCTGTATAATTTCATTACGGATAGATCTTCTAGAAAAATAAATAACCACATCTCTTGGTAGATTTCTCTGTCTAGCAACCCGTGAATTAACTCTAAAAATTTTTTCTATCTCATTCTCAATTATTTCAGGCCGCCAACCAATATTAGGAGCAATATCTTTCACAATAAGCATCTTTAAGTCTTCCTGAGGGTTCTCCCTCAGGCCTCTGATACGCAATGCGTGTTCCATCTCCCTATATTGTGAAATGATTTGTTCATCCTGTGTAATTTCTATCTTGTTCTCTACCTCCTGCATTCTAAATTCCATCCTTGATGCATTTTCAGTAATCTTTTCCATCTGGTCATCAATCCTTTCTATGTGCAGGGCTAGGCCCTGAAAGGCCAGAAGGATATGGTCTCTTACTTGTTTATTCTTTTTCTCCAATAATTCTTCTGTATTAGCCCTCTCTGCAATTATAAGATCTTTTACCTCCTCCTTAATATCCAAGGCATGCTGTTTTAAAGCATCTTGTAAATCATTAAGAGAAATTGCAGGAGGAGGAGGAGAAGGTGGAGGTGATTTTGGTTTCTGAGATGCAGGCTGAGGCATTGGAGAAGAAATAGGAACCTTAGGGGCGGGAGGCAGACGTTTTGAAGCCATTTTCTTAAGTTCCAAGAAGAAAGATTCTTATTGAAAAAAAAAAAAGGGCACAGTTCTTTTAAGTGTTCTTAAAAAAAAGAGAAAAAAAAATAGAGAAAAAAAGAGGAAAGAATAAAAGCCAAATTCTTACTTCTGTATTTAAAGAGTTAATCTGTATCCAGGTTTTACTCTGTAATGCAAATCAGGCAAGAAAGACGATCGCCATTTTAGTTTTCACTTTCCCTTTCTTCTAAAGGGAAAGTGAACAAAAGAAAAGGAAGAGGAAACTTGCTGAAGTTAAAGGCACCATCAAACTTAAGCACAGTCTCTCCTGGTCTGCTCCGTCTGCTTTCAAATACTCACAAGCAGCTGGAAAAAAAAGCAGATGTGGAAGCGGCAACTTGCTTCATCCCAAAAACTTCGGAATGAAGTCTCCCTGGAACGCGGAGTTGCTCAGGCTCCGAGGGAGCTCTACCCCCCAATCCCCAAAATAACAGGAATCCAGGGGAGCTCTTACCTCTACCTGAGAGCTCTCCTCCTCCCTTTTTCCCAGGGAGGAGATTCAAGCCGCGGGACAGCTGATTGTCAAAGTCCCGCGGCTTTTACATGCACCAGGAACGGGCGGCTTTGTAAAACGCCGCCATTCGTCATCGCTGGAACCACCAGAAGCCTGTTTTGAAATCTTTGATGAGTTAATTTTATTTCTTTACAGGAATGGAATCTGCTGGAATCCATGAAACAACTTATAACAGCATAATGAAATGTGATATTGATATCCGTAAAGATCTTTATGCCAATAATGTGCTTTCTGGAGGAACCACCATGTACCCCGGTATTGGTGATCGTATGCAGAAAGAAATCACAGCACTGGCTCCAAGTACTATGAAAATTAAAGTAAATATTATGTTTAACATTGGTCTAACAGATATTTAATAATATATTCCTGAAATATTATCTAGGACATTTTTTTAAGGAATGCTATTTTCATATATTATCTGACTTCAAAGAAACAAAATGGGGCTCAAATAAAAGGTTTTATGAAGAAAGATGCAAATATCAAAGATACAGAAATCAGAACCAATGGCACAGATTCTCTGGTTGGGCCTATCATAATCTGTGAACCCCCTGGGCCATTTTATTCTCAATACGACATTGTATTTTTGATACAATAAAAAGTTTATTTACACACCTCGCTATTCATCTTAATGATGTGCTCTTATCTTTATTGACACCGGCATACACAAATTTAGCAAATGTTCTGCCTAGTTTTAAACTGTTTTCCAAGAAGGCCACTTTTTGCTCAGGCAAGAAGTAATATTTCAAAAAAAGTGACTTTTTGATTCTTAAAATAAAATTTCCATAACTTTTTTTCCCCCACCTTCCTGCCATATAGGAATATATTTGTATCACAAGATAAACTACAAGCTGAGTGAAGTGGCAGGATATGGTCATTGGTTGTTCATGGTTTTCTGTCATTTTCTGGGAGCTGGTGCAATTTAATTAGAAAACATTGTTTGTTTTCTGGTTTATTTATAAAGATGTCTGGATGATACAGTAATCTCTATCACAACCGAGCCCTAAATACCTGTTGCTAAGCGAGACAATTGTTGGGTGAAATTTGCCCAATTTTACGACCTTTCTTGCCACAATTGTTAAGTGAATCACTGTAGGTGTTAAGTCAGTGACATGGTTGTTTAGTGAATCTGGCTTCCCCAATGACTTTGCTTGTCAGAAGTCACCAAAGGTGATCACATGACTCCAGAACACTGCAACCATCATAAATATGACCCAATTGCCAATTTTGATCGTGTGACCACAGGGATGCTGCAACTGTTGTAAGTATGAAAAACGGTCTTAAGTCACTTTTTTCAGTGCTGTTGTAACTTTGCATGGTCACTAAATTCACGATTTATGATTAATGTATTTTCATGTTGTATATGATCATGATTATCACTATTACTTGTATGTACACTGAGAGCGTATGCACCAGAAACAAATTCCTTGTGTGTCCAACCACACTTGGCCAATAAAGAATTCTATTCTATTCTATTCTATTCTATTCTATTCTATTCTATTCTATTCTGTTCTGTTCTGTTCTGTTCTGTTCTGTTCTGTTCTGTTCTGTTCTACTCTACTCTACTCTACTCTACTCTACTCTACTAGTTGAAGACAACCTGTACTATGAATCAGCCATACCAGTCAGGAGAAAGGATCAAAGACTTATTGAATAACACAAGTATGATTGGTATGTTAGATTCAGATATATATGTAGATGCTGTATTTCAAGTGCTGCTTATGCTGCCTTTATGTGATGTCCCTGAGCTTTTAGGATAGAGCAGACTATCAATCATTCAGTTTAAACTGAACTAAAAAAAATAAATAAAAAGCCACCACAGAATTTGTCATGAAGTAGATGAATAATTGTTTGTTTTAAGCAATTTCTAATTTCTATAGAACCTTATAATTATTATAGATATTATAACTACATGCTGTATTGTCTCCATTTTGTACAATAAGAATAAATAAAATTAAATAGAGGTCTCTTTAACCACTATGAGTGATATCAACAGATTTTTCCACTCATTTCTATATTTCTTTTTTGCTTTTTCTAGATGATTGCACCTCCAGAACGTAAATACTCTGTTTGGATTGGAGGTTCCATATTAGCTTCTCTGTCAACTTTCCAGCAAATGTGGATCAGCAAAGATGAATATGAAGAAGCTGGTCCTTCCATTGTCCATCGCAAATGCTTTTGAGTATGCTTACAATTTCCTATAAGGGATCCCTTGTGGTTTCTCACTATTTTCTTAATTTTCTTTTCACACTTCTAAAACTACAGTAAATGGTTTTGCCAATTAATTAAGTGCTGTTTTCTGGTGCCTAAAATATGCATCAGATTTTTCATTCCAGTAACAAGCAAAGGGTAGCTATGATCATTGGAAAGCTACTTCTTCAAACTCTTTCCCCCCCCCTAGAACAAAATGTGCATTAGGAATTTTCCTACCACTTCTGGGCAGTGAATTCAGTATTTTATACTTTATCACAGAATAGCCAGTTAAATGTTCATGTAGTCCTTGATTTACAAGCTTTCGTTTAGCAACCATTCAAAGTTATCATGAAAAAAGTGACTTATAACTGGTTCTTGCACTTACCACCATCACTGCATCCCCACATGATCAAGGTTCAGCTACTTGGCAACCAGCATATATTTATGATTGTTGCAGTGTCCTAAGATCTTGTAATCTCCATTTTTAACCTTCCCAGCCGGCTTTTGAGAAATAAAGTCAATGAGGGAAGCTGGATTCACTTAATGATTACCTGATTCACTTACCAGCTACAGTGATTTGCTTAACAACTATGGGAAAAAGTTGTAAAATCGAGCCCAACTCATTTAACAACCAGCCTGCTTAGCAACCAGTTATGACCAATGACCAATTATAGTCATATGTCAAGAACTATCGGTTAAGGCATCAGGCTAGAGCAGTGGTTCTCAACCTGTGGGTTGGGATCCCATTTGGGGGTCGAATGACCATTTCACGGGGGTCACCAAACAAGTAGTCCGCCATTTTTTCCCCCTTTTCCTTAGCTGTGCTACTCCCTTTTATTCTATTGGCTTTTGAAAGACTTGAACAAAATCTAATTCTATTGGCTTTCAAAAGCCAATAGGAATTGTCCAGGCTGTCTCTGCCCTGCTGAGCCCGCCAAAAGTCCCATTCTGCAAACGTTGCTGCACCAGTTGAGTAGTCCTTGACTTACAACCGGTTGGGGGGTCGCGGCATTAAAAAGGTTAAGAACCACTGGGCTAGAGGGATCTCCTGCTTGAATAGGAGATTGGACTAGATTAGAAGACCTCCAAGGTCCCTTCCAATCCTATTATTCTATGTTCTGGTCAAATCCCAGCAACTTGATAATTAGCCATATAGTATGGTGCTTCTGGGAATTGCATTTTAGTAATGTTTGGAGAGACACATCATGCAAGCTGCAACACTGTTCACTTTCTGGTTTCCTTTCAGCAGGGGTGCATATCAGAATCTTTATGTCTTTGCTTTGGGCTACCTAGTAAATGTATCTAACATATACATCATCTGAAGGGTTGAGGCTGCAACTTAATCTTTTGATCACTGGAGGACCACATGAAGTGATGCTGAGAAGTCATCAAACTGGTCATAACTGATTTTTTAAGTCTGTTTTTAAGAGGCTTTGGATGAGCATAAGATATGAAAGTCTTCTGGAGGAACATGGTTTACATTCTTAATTTTTAACCATAATGAAACCTAGAAACAAGCTGATTGAGGGGCTTTTTGGGGCGGTTATAGTAGCTTTCAGAAATAAGACTCTCAGAAGACACTAGTTCCATTATTCCAATATTTAAGGTTACCTCAAAACCTTAAAAAGTGGGCCGAATCATACAGTCAGTTTTAGTCATAAATATTTTATTGCCCTTTCCAATCCCTTAGTACTCTGAGCAATTTGTAGTAAAATCCTACAGGTGCCTACCTACTCAGAAATATTAAATTCAAGAGACTCCTGTGCAAGTGTATACAGGATTCTGGTTTCTGTGCTGTTTTTGTTAGGCAAAAATGAAAATTTATAAATAAAAATAATACTTCAAAATATTTTATCATAATTATTGCTGCCTTTAATGTACCTATAATTAAATATGTAGTGCTAATGTGGCTTGCATTAATTGCAACTTTGATTTACCTATTAAGTAGATATAATTAAGCAACCAGAATAGTCTGGTTTAATCTGTTTATGAAAATCATTTAGATACAGTCAAGGAATGCTAATGAATTCACCTAAATTTGAAGTGAAATTTGTAGCAAACTAAGTTGAAGGGAAATGAGAAAATGAGAAGAAAAACAAACTTTCATAGCATAACTTTTTATCCCTCAAATGTAGCTATCTCATTTAGTTCTTACTTTTGGAAAATTACTACAGTATTGGTAATTTCCAGTTTAACTTGTAACCAGCACACTATAATCAAGTCCTATATCCAGATCAGAGCAAGCATCCATGCCACTTAGTTAAGTTAGTTTAAAAAAACACATAACCCCTTGATGTTTATTCTGAAAATATTGGGAAATATCAAATCTGAAACTATATACAAAAATCAAATAAAAGCAATGAGGAGAGGCATGAAGAACATATAAGAGATTTTAAAAAGGCACATTATCTATACAAAAAGACACAGAATGTTCCAGATCACAGGAAATAATGTCATTAATTAGCATAAATAGTCCTAAAGAAAATAATTAACACTTTTATGTACATAACAGCAACATAACAGAGAGGGAAAGTGGGACACCATGTGATTGCTCCTACATTTTGCACCATAAAGGGAATAATTAGATGGACAGAGGTATGACGTATCACACAGACAATGGAAAAGTTTCAACAGTCTGATCCTACAAGGGGAAGAAACATCTGTTTGTTTCCAGCTAAACTGTACTGTGGGCGATCTTCATTCTGACCTAATGAACTCTGGTTATAATCCGTTATCTTAAAAAAATGTATTGCTGTTGTTTTAAAGTTTATATACAGTGAATTACAACAATTTTCCACCGTCTGTTGGAAAATGTTTGAACTAGAACTACCATTATTTCTGCATTAATAATACATGTGTGGGATAGAACAAACAGTCCTTGCTTACTAACCACTCATTCAGCAACTATTCAAAATTATGATGGCATTGAAAAATAGATATATGACTGGTCTTTGAAGTTGCATAGAAATACGTACACATATACAAGTTTATTTCTTCCATAAGTATTTTCCTTTTAAATGTTAAAACGTTTGTTTTTCTAAAGGAAGAATCACTAAATTATCTACAATCCAAATACTATCATTTGATATGTAACTCACAGAAAAAGAGAAAATGTACTTGGAAACAAAACATTTATGATTGTTTGCAGTGTCCCACAGTCACATGACTGTGATTTATGATATTTTTTTTGCCAAAAAACGGCACTTACTTGTAATTTTTGGACAAGTAGAGAAAAATGGGCTTATTTAGCAATTGCAATATTCACTTAATGCCTCATTCCGGCTGCAAGTCGAGAACTACCTACAACCAGTTTGATGTGGTAGTGAGAACACTAGGCTAGAAACCAGGAATTGCAAATTCTAGTTCTGCTTTAGGCAGGAAAGCCAGCTGGGTGACTCTGGGCCAATCATTTTCTCTTAACCCAACCTATCTTACAGGTTGGTTGTTGTGGGTAAAATAGGTGGAGGAAGGAGTATTAAGTATGTTCGCCACCTTTATTTATTTATAAAAATAATACAGGCAGGACGAAAATTAAATAAATAATAAATTAAAAACTAGGCCTCCAGGCTCTATTTTCCCAAATGAGCTGAAATCAACCTAATTCATTATTGCCATATGATGTCCTTTCCTCAAAATCTTCAGGAATATGTGTGTGTCTCTCTTTCTCTCTTTTTGGTCCCTTCATGTCAGTCTAACTCCTGACAACTGCCTGGGCAGATCCCTGCAGTTTTCTTGACAAGTTTTTTGCCTTTGCCTCCTTCTTAGGTCTCAGAGAGAATGATCAAGATTATGCAGTTGTCTTTCAGCCTAAGGCAGAAGTAGAATCTCCAGGATACTAGCCTGGTGCTTTAACCATCATTCTGTTCAAGAATGACTAGCAAAGCTGAAAAGATGACCCAATTTACTTCGGGGAGCTTCACATTTTACTGTAGTTTCCAGCTGCTGTTAAGCTTAATTATCAGGCAGAAAAACACCATCCCTGCTGTCTCAAAGACTGCTTATCTGTGATCAGCTTCCACATGGTTTAAGACAGTGTTTCTCAACCTTGACAATTTTAAGGCATGTGGACTTCAACTCCCAGAATTCCACAGCCATCAATGCTGGCTGTGGAATTCTGGGAGTTGAAGTCCACATGCCTTAAAATTGTCAAGGTTGAGAAACACTGGTTTAAGAGAACATTCCAATGAATCAACAGTACAGGAAGCAAATGTTCATAAGGGTTTCGATGTCTGATCCAAATTCCCCCTGGAAAGAACCTTGCAATTGATTTTTGCCCAAGAGATGATGGGACATTTAAATATTGTTCCTCAGTTTAGATTTCATTGGCAGCTGACTTTCAGCTGTTGTGTAAACATAATGTAATTGTTCACAACCCATACTCTGCTGTAGAAGAAGATATGGAGTGATTTTTCAGATGAAGGCAGGGGAAATCAGGTGATAGTAAGCACCTCCATTTTATACATCATGCAGTTACTATACTAGATTTAGATTTACTAGGATGGGAAAAGTTCTTGAATTTCTAAACAGAGTTAGGGTCACCCCTTAAAGAATAAAGTCTTCTGTATTTTCCAGGAGGTGAATTAGAATTTAAGGATCATTTGGCAAATTGAGTGTTTTGGGGGACATATACCAATGTCAATCAGATCTGATTGGTCTAGCTTGGTCCTTAATACAAGCTAGAGTTTTGTCCCAGTAAAGCACCTACCACAATACTATTTAATTATACATTTATTAGGTTTATATTCTGCCTTTCCTCCAGGAAAGGTTGTTTCCATAATCATCTAGTGAGGTTCTGGAGGTATGTGTGGACCTGAAACTATATTTTCCCCAGATCCAGAAATGTGGAGAAATGTGCAGCCCCAGTTCAGTAAATATTTTCCTGGCTTGTGTGGGATAATCTTATTCTTCAATGATACACTACAGCAGGGGTGTCAAACTGCCAGCCTGCAGGCTGGATGCGTCACAATGAAACCACACCCACCCCATTGCCAGCAATGGGGAAAAAGTTCCAATACGTCACGTGACATCACGTGACATCGCGAGCTTGACATGTCTGCACTACAGTATATCCCTTAAGGGACTCTAAATTGGTGTGGTGTACTATATAACGGTATGGAGAATAACAGAATAACAGAGTTGGAAGGGACCTTGAAGTCTTCTAGTCCTACCCTCTGCTCAGGCAGGAAACCCTATACTATGTCAGATAAATCGTTGTCAAAACTCTTCTTAAAAACCTTCAGTATTGGACAGTGGTGGGATTCAAATATGTGAACAACCAGTTCTCTGTGTGGATGTCGCTTCCGGAAGTCCATTGTGGGTCTGAGCAACAAAAAATTAGCTACCGGTTCTGCTGAAGTTATGCGAACCGGCTGAATCCCACCACTGGTATTGGAGCATCCACAATTTTTGGAGTCAAGTCCTTCCACTGTTTAATTGTTCTAACTGTCAGGAAATTTCTCTTAGTTCTAGATTGCTTCTCTATTTGATTAGTTTCTGTCGATTGCTTCTTGACCTGTCTTCAGGTGCTTTGGAGAATAGGTTGACCCCCTGTTCATTGTGGCAGTCCCTTAAATATTGGAATACTTAAAATTAGATTTTAAAATTAGAAAAATAGATTTTTTCTGAAGGTACTAGATCCGAATAGGTTCTAATACCTTCTTGGAAACAGGTAGGTTTCCAAGAAGCAAATAAATAAACTATCCCTGACTTTTAGATATATGTGCAGAGAAGTAGAAAATTTTTTTTCCCAAGAGCAGCATTCAGGAATGTGAATATGAGTCTGTTTGAAAGTCTTACCCATTTTGGCTCTCTCTCTGGCAAAGCAACTTTTTTATATTCAGATCTCCTTATTTTGTAGCTATATTCATCAGACCAGCTGGAGCTAAAGTTTGAATGCTTAGAATATGAATCTACATCTGGGCAGCTGATTTCATTTTCTCTGTGGAGGGAGCTTGATTATGCTGTGAATATATTCCTAAGTAAATCAACATGCAGAATACTATTGAAAATTAATAGTCTGATATATATATATGTTGAAACATGAATTAAGCCTATGCTGAGAGCCGGGCAAAAGAAATGGCGAAGGAAATCAGAGGACTTTGATCTGAAAGATCTCTTTCTGCTAAGCATTTCTTTCCAATTTAACTTGTCCTTTGTTTTGCCCCTATTAAGTGTTGTGATGTTTCTCATTTGTACATAGACTCCCTCCATGCCTTAAAAATTTTAGCAACAAACTGAAGCTTTACCTTGGTAAAATAATCTTGCATCCTACGAGTACCTGTTACACCTTTCTCGCAGCCCTAGGAAGTCTTCAGCAGTGTATTTTTGAGTTTTAGCAGGTGCCAATAAATTACAGTGGTGTTCTAACAGGCTTAATAGAATTATTTTACTGGGTAAAAAATCCAAACCAAAGTGATCATTGCAAAAATCAGTTAAATATATACAGTTAAAAATAAAAAAAGTCAACCATTAAAAACAACCCAATTATTAATACTTATCACAAAAATCATAGCCATCATAATTCAGTCCAGAAAAATCACATTATGATTACAACGAAGAAGCACTGACTGCAAGACAAAAATTGTAATGGAGGCACCACTGAGCATCTTAGAGATGGTACCCCAAATAGGATATTACTACCAAAAAGTCTTTCTTTTGGCATTAACATTGCCTCATTTTGTGAGGGACATTTCAAATGAAGACTTTAAAGTCTTGATAAATCAATATAGCAATCAATATTTATCTAAGCCATTTAAAGTTTTTATGGTTAAAACCAGCATTTGGAGATGGGTTCTGAAAAAGACAAGCAGCAAATCACTTGTGTAATTGATTGCATTGGTTAGTTGTTTTCTTCTGGATTAATTACAGTTTCTAGACCATTTTCCTGGACAACCTTTACATAGTATTTTGCCACTGTCAAAGCATGTATCCATTAAGCAGCTTCTGTAATTGTAGATATGTCCAGAAGCAGACAGATCCTTACTTAGTCAGTTGTTAGATTATTTAAAGTTTCAAAGATTAAGATAAACAATTTTACCTCAGCTTCATAAACAACTGGCATGCAACTCATAGGAATGGTACGATCCCAAACTTTTATTCTTCAGAAGAGTATGAATTCTGTGGATTGCCTCAAGCTGGATCCTCTTTTGATTTGGCATCACTTCTGTCAAATCTGATTGGATTTCTACATCTTCACTTTCACCCACCCATTGTAGAATCCAGATGATATCATCCCTTTCCTTAGAGTTTGGGGGAGATATAGTATTGAGTGATGTCACAATATTGAGAAAAAAGGAAGGGAAATTTCATTCATACAGTCTACTAAACAAGCTATCTGTCAGCCCTCTCAGGCAAACCAGACAGGAAAAACAACAAGATGAACTAATTCTACTTAATTGTAGGCAACAGTAACAATATATTGCAAGCCCGAAGACATAAATTTTCCTCTTCCATTTTTAACTAATTTATCCCTTATGATGGATCTCTCCTAAGTTTCTTTGTCTGATCATTAAGTGACTGTGGGCTCCTGTCATTCTTATTTAATTAGTTCCCAGGCAGCATCTCCTCCTCTCCTTCCTCAAGGTCATTCATAGATTCCATTATGCTATCAGTCCAGGGTGGCATGTCTGCACACATTTATTTGAAAAAGAGAAAAGATTACTTCATTTTTGTATATCTCTACAGTGCAGCACAGAGTAGCCCAATCTCTTCTGTTGTCACAGAATGAGCCTGTTGATAGGCAGACAGAATCCTGAGCCCCTTTCTGTGACTTTTTTCAATCTTTTGTTGAATTGGAAAGAATAAAAAGAATCCTGTAGAAAGTCAGTAGCAAAGCTGTTCTGTAGTGTTGCCAAGAAAAGAACATAGTTGTGTTTATGAAATCATCAGGAACTAAATTGGATTCAAAGGATGCTTTAGTTCAGACATGTCAAACACAAGGCCCAGGGGCTGGATGTGGCACGCGAATTGGTTTCATGTGGCCCATCAAGCCATCCTGGAAACAGTGAGGGAATGGCCCCCGCTGCCTTGGCCCTGGCCCAGACCGGCCGGAAGGGAGCCAATGTACAATTTTGTGGCGGCCATCTATGCTGAAACGCATTCAGTCTTAGCTCCACAAGGTCATCTGGAAACAGTGAGGAACCAGCCCCTGCAGTGTCAGCCCTGCCCCCTGGGTGCATGCTGGGGAGGTGTCAACCTTTATGTGGAATGAAGAAATGCACCATCACCTGGAAGTGGCCAGCAAATGGCCCTCGCCTACTTCACATATCCGGCTTGATGGGCTCCGGCGGAGGGGTTTCAGCAGGCAGTGAAGCTCCTCCAGTGGACCATGCCTTTGCACTTGCCCCAGTCCCACCCCCTTCTGCCAGAGACCCTCAGATCTTCCCACTCCTGCCCAGTCCCCTACAGGCCCCCTTGAATCAAACGATGTAGAGCTGGCCATGCCCACCCAATAGGCCATACCCACTCCATCCATACCCAACCAGTAGGCCACACCCACCTAGTAGGCCACACCCTCGAGGGCAACCGCAATGCTGATGCGGCCTTCAATGAAATTGAGTTTGATACCCCTGCTTTAGTTTATATATATATATATATTGGTCAGAAGACGGATCCATGCGTATAATATTGTGCATATTTAATTATTAGAAACTGACCAAAATTCATCAGTTTTTAAACTCCATTTAATTTTCTTGATGGTGGGCTTGATGGAAGTCCCACATGTGTAAAAAAAAGGGAGGATATCCCTGATTTGTGTGTTTTTATTCTTTAACTATGAATCCTCCCTAGAGCAGTCCCTGAATCATGGTATGATTATTGCTTTTCCTTGCTAAGCAATTCAGTGGCAACCCTCAGACAAATTATGTGGCTCACAATGACCCAATCAAATCAAGGATTGTGTTACCTTGCAGATTTGAATCATCTGGTTCTGAGATGTAATAATTTGTGCACACAGATTGTCCATGTATCTCTGCCAGACACTATTTGCACATTGGTTCCCTTTTTTCTTTGTTTTTCATTTTCCCCATCCCTCTTGTGAAAAGGCTGTTTAATTGGATATCACGGGCTAAGCCAGTAGTCGGTCTCATACTCAGAGTGAGCACTGAATTAACATGACATGACCCAGAGATGCAAAGGGATTCCTTTCATTACCCGCATTCTCATGCAAGGGGGGAACAGGAGCCGTGTTTCCAGGACAACCACCAATGAGGCAAGCAGACTCAAGACCAAATTTTCTTGTGAAGGAAATTGGTTCCGACAATTTTCTTTTAAAATGCACTGATGAAATACAAATAAAAAGAGATGTACTTGTAGAACATTGGAAGTGCCTATAGTAGAGTCGGGTAATTCTGAAAGCACCTTTAAAGATAAGGTGACCAACCGTCCTCCTTTAAGGAGGACAGTCCTCCTTTTGTGAGTTCTGTCCTCCCTCA